CAAGTTTACTAGGGTTTCACGACAACATCAACATTCATAGAAAGCTAAAATTATATCCGGAAAACCCCCGAAAATCATCGTCACCAACTCCCTTTCGACTTTCCAATAAAAAATCCCCAACTCGATAACCAAATTAGGGTTCCTATTACCTCCCCAAACATACAAAAATCGTCGAAAACCACTAAATTAATCCATGAACAGCTATACAGAAACAGAAATCGTACCTTTCCGAACCTTCAGGAACGGCCTTCTGCGAATTTCTGCGGCTCCGCAATGTCGAATAGGGTTTCAGTTTGGGGCTCTAGGGCTTCGCGGCGACAAGTACCCGATACATTGACCAAAACGCAAATTTTAGAGTGAGAGATAGAGCGAGAGAGGGAGAGAGAGAACCTAGGGTTTCGAAGCGAGGGATGAGAGAGAAAGAGAGAGAGTTTGAAGAGGTAGAGAGAGAGAGAGAGAGAGAGAGAGAGAGAGAGAGAGAGAGAGAGAGAGAGAGAGAGAGAGATGGAAAAATGAAAAATCGCAGGGAAGGTTTTTTCGAATCGGAGAAGAGTGAGTGGGGGATTTATGGTTTTCGAGGGCTCTGGAGAACGGGTGCTTTAAAGGAACTGATTTTTCCTTGTGACGAAAAAGGACTGAGGATTATGAAATTTTACTTCCCCATTTGGGTGGTTTCTGTAGTCATTGCCATTTTCTACGAGGGTATTTTCGGGGATTGAGTCTTGTTTTGTCAGGGTGTGGGGTTTTGGGTCCGACGGTGTCGTTTGGTTGCGAGGGAAAATGTAAACAAGCGTTGGGCTTGGGCTCTGCGGCGTCGTTTTGGAGTTACTCGTGGCGGGAACGATTCTGGGCTTTGTTAAAAATAAGGCGGGAAAATCATGATTTGGTAAAGTTGTTTGGAGGTGAAGCATCTGATTCTGTGATTTTTGACATTTTAATTTTGTATTTACATGCAATTTTATTCATAATTTTAGTAAGTAATAAACAGTTGTGGTGATTGATAACAAAAAAAATTTACCAGATCATAATTTCGGTTGATAACAATTTGGTTCAATTCATATATAATGTCGTTAAAATTAAATCCAAATGTGACGCATGTCTCGTTTAAGGGTTTTTAGCATTTCTAAGTTTGAATTTCACAAAGCATAGAATCTCAATTTACACATCTGAAGTCGTCATTTGGCTCACAAAGATGATAAAGACACGAACTTTTCCGTTCTCTTTTATTTGTGCTCTATCTTTTCGATACATCGTCGAAGAAACATTGTCCCACGATCATCATTTTTTCGGTGTTTTCTTTAGGAGCTTTGATATAATTAAGAGCAAGGGACCTGCCCTTACCGTATTCACTTCTTCCATTTCATTTAGTCTCCCGGTTTCCAGATTGAGAACTGGTTTAGAAAAGAAGAACTGAAATGGATTTTGCTGTGATCTTTTCACTTCTTCCATTTCATGATTAAGTTGATGCTTTTGGTGTTGCCATTGCAAGAACATCAGACGAACCCCCACAAATCATATAACTTTATAAGATAATTTATCTACCGTATAAAATTTGTGAAACTAATAATTTACCTGGTGTTTAACTTTTACAAAACTAATGTATCTTTCTGAGCTATTGCTATTTCTGATATGAGCTTTATTCAGTATTGCTTGAAATGTTATGTTTGCAGATTAATTTTCTTTTTCGCAGGCCATAAGATTTTTCATGAGCCCCAATCTGAGAGTGCAAGGACTCAGAGTTAAGAACAGCCCCCAGTTTCATTTCCGGTTCGATAACTGTCAAAACGTCCACCTAGAATCACTTACCATAAAAGCACCTACTTATTTGAGTCCTAACACAAATGGAATTCACATAGAACAAACAATGTGAAACTATACAATTCACTAATATCGCATGGTAATTACACAAAAGCAGCTTCCGATTCGACATGTCTTTCTCAACTCTCTAATATCTCGAAATCTCACCCTTATCGTGGCTTGAAATGCTTCATGTAGGCGTTGATTGCGTCTCATTAGGAGTTGATTGTTACAATGTAGACATTAAGAACATTACTTGCAGCCCAAGTCATGGAATAAGGTACAACCAACGCTCCAAAGTTCGAATTGGATGATTTCAAGTTTAATTCTACCCTAATCCTCTTTCTTCCTACAGCATTGGAAGTCTAAGGAATCGTAATTCTTGAGCATGTGTTTCAAATATTATTGTTGTCAATGTGAGATCTTTCGTTCAATTGGAGACGGTGTAGTTCTGGCCTTAAATTTCAAGTAATGTAGCTTTCCTTCTAAATCTCGAAATTTTATATAGAATTATCTAGGAGAGAAATTTTGGTTGATAATTTTTTTACTTTAATTTTACCTTAACCAAAACCTGATTTGAATTTTTATCTTTATTTTGTTCTCGTGAAGATTGATGGGAAATTAGTGCCACCAGATGGACCTGATTCATGGCCAAAAAATAACAGCAAAAGACAGTGGCTGGTTTTCTACAATCAATGGAATGTCAATGCAAGGGGGCGGTGTAAACCCCACAAAGTAAAGCACTTTTTTCTCTTTACAATCACCAGTAAATTTGGAAAAATTTAACAATGTCTCATGAATTTGGCATGATTTTAAGAACCACCAGGGCATGTTTGAATCGGATCAAACGCTTCTGACTAGCCGGTCGACGGCCGGGATTGTAAGGAACAATGCCGTATCTGGTGCTGCATGGGCTATTAAGTTAGGAGCAGCCATGGTGAAAATGGGATCTATTGATACCCTCACAGGAAGACAGGGCGAGATCAAGAAGAACTGCAGGGTTGTAAATTAGAATATCTGGGAATTTTATTGGCTCCAAATTTAATAATAATGAAATTCTTAAAATAAATATATGGATACAGGATAAAATCTAAATCTAAATTGAAACAATAATATGTCACTGCTTAAGTGTATATGGTTAATAATGCATATCAGTAACTTCTTACCTTCACAATATTAGTGGGAAAGGTGAGTGCTAGTAGGACTCGCTCAAAAAAATTAGAGAGACACAAACAACTTTTGGGAATTAGAACTAGAGGGACACAAACAATAAAGTGATTATCAAACATGGGAAAGTAAGTGAATTCTCATTCCCTAGTTTATTTTTCACGTACCAAACGTAGCCTGATTGTTATTGTGCCCATTTTTTTATTAAAATTTTGTGACCAATATTTATATATTTTTGCGTGTTTTTCAATATTAATTGTTGGCAAATAAGTTTCACAACTTTTTTACTTTTCATTTACACACTTACGTATTGTTTGCCCTTCAATTAATTAAATTAAAGAATAATCAGTGGACAAAAATGAAGGAGAGAAAAATGTGCAAAATTATTTTTCTAATTTTTGCCTTTTTTTTTTTTTGGATAATTTTTTGTTTGATAGCAATATGGTGAGTTGAGTTCTTAATTTTGGTTATTTTAGATTTTGGTGTTGCTGATTTATATGTTAAGTACATTTGTTGTGAAAGTATTACAAAGATCGAACCTTTAGCAAATTTAACAGTGATCAAATGAAAAAAAAAATAAAAATATTTAAAATTTGTGTAGATTTGAAGGGTTTCATTTGTTTGTTTGAAATTTGAATGCTTAAAGCAAATTACTGTATGAACCTCCAAAAGCAAATGACATCCCATATGATAAGAATTCTGGTCGTTTTGATCCATCTCATCCTTGGATAGGACTTATATAAAACGGGGATGCGAATGTTGGGGTGATCAAAATCAATCATGTGGCGTTATATGGAAACTTATACACATAATGACACGCGATAGCTAGGTTCGGGACATCAACACCTTGGCATTCCTATATGTAGTGCATCATCATTGATGATATATGAAGCACGGATGCAGATATAGTGATACGATATGACACGATACGACTATACGAAAAATCTCTAAAAACTAGGATATATGATATGCCATGAATACGGCAATAAAATTATAAAATTTAAACTATATTTAAACATGAAAGTATCAAGTTCATTTGATTTGTTGCAAAACAAAAGTTGGAAGTCGAATCCTCCTTATATACAAGAAGAAGTTTAAGAGTTACATTCATTGTTTCAATTAGAGACAAACTCTTCGTGTTCATCAACTTTCAACTAAATCTATATTTCCTAATATTTTCTCCTCTTCATTTCTCAAGTGTGAAGGTGGTGCTAAACCGGTATGTTCTATATCCATGCACATGTACACACACTCAAACCTCAAAACGTGTCTAAGAATTTTAAATCGCCCGTTCTCCCTCCGGTTGGCACGAGAGGATGCTGAGAACTCACCTATGAGAAAAGATGAGGCTGAAATATTTTCCACTTTACCACAAACTTGTGAGAACAAAAACTTGATTGAATTGAATCACAAAGTAATTTAACAATACAAATGTAATTTTGAACCGAAACCAATTACCAAAATATTGCTCATAAAGATTTCCTTAGAGCTAATCAGGATTTATCCATGCGATTAACAAAGTTATAATCGAATCGATGTTACCATTCTGTGCTCGTGTCGATGATAAGGGTCGTCATCATTCTGATTCCTCTGAATCGGTTAGGCCACGTCGTCGTTTTGTCATCAGAACTTTGGAGAGGAAAAGAATGACGAGAGCGGTTTTAGGATAGCAAAAGGGGAAGGAGAAGAAGAACAGCACACCCACAATATATTTAGGTACGGGCATTTCGGTACACTAATTTAGTAAAATATATTATGGTACGAACATTTAGGTACACTAATTAAAGAAAGTTAAACAAAATCAATGAATTAAAATGTGTATAATAATAAATTTAAAATTTAATGTAATAACATTAAATAAGTTATCTATTAAATACAAAAACAAAAATATAATATGAATTTGAATTAAGTACATATTAAGGGACTAAAATCAATATTCAATCTAACACCAGATTTTTATTAAATTTTAATCTTCTTGAAGGATTAAAGTTCAAAAACCCCTCAAATAAATACAGCAAAATACGTAAACATAACTCTGATCATAATAACAGTCATAACAAACAAGACATTCAACAACCAATACAAAGATATAACATGGCCAACAAAAAATACTACAGCAACACACATAAAAACCATAAACAACAAATCTTCAGATCCAGCATCTTTAAAATCGCAAGTCCCCTGCCAAATTATCATTTGCTTGTTTGTATGTCATAGAACAACTTTGAAAATGATTTCATATGCTTGGATTGCAGACAAATGGCGACTGATAAACTCCCATCATTAGTTGCACTTCCTAATACGAAAGCCGTCCCCTCAAATGGAATTCCACAAGGTCCCACAAAAATAGGTCGACCCCATCCGAAATCAGCGTCGTAAGATGGCAACCTAACCCAACTATTTATTCCAATATTAGGGGACCTACGAGAATCAGCCCCGACAACAAGGGCTGAAAGATCAGGCTGAAGCTCAAGGAAGTCAATTGCTGATCTAAAATAATTGCCGTTAATCTGCGATATAGCATTGCGAATACAACTTGAAGCATACCATGTTGGTTTTGATTGGAGATCCCCCACCGTGGAAATAATGGTAGCATTGACAATCACATTGCCAAAGAAACCAAGTGGGAGTGGGGGTTGCAGTCGGGAACGTCCCTCAACAACACCATATAGGTTGGTCTTTTGATCAACGGGAAGTTCACGTGCCTTGGATGCACATTTCCAAACATGACCTGCTAATATCTCAAATGTGCTATAGTTGACCGTGTTCCCATCTTCCTTAGACTTGGCTTTCAAGATACTGAGTTGGTCCCTCGTCAATCTGAACATTGAGACTGTTGTGCTCTCAACACCACCGTCTTTTGTGCTGCAGAGAGGTTTTTTTGGGGTTGCAAAAGTTTGGTACTCAACGTTAGGCTGAGGCGGGTCTTGGGCACGAAGTAATGTCCTGTCTATGTATGGCGGAATATTTGTAAGGTCATCAAGATTACCACGAGCCATTTCCGACCATGTATTTATAAAGTGGAAACCAGAAACTCCATCAGCTACGCAATGTGACATACCAACACCAACTGCCACTCCACCGCATTTGAAGTATGTGACCTGAATATACAGAATAAAGCCATATTTAAGATCTATAGAGATCGAGTTGTTGTGAGTTCTTGCATTTGACTGTTTTCTTTTTCTCTTCATTAATGGGTCTCTCGTCTCGTGTGGTTCTGCAATTCCAGGAAACATTTTTTTTTCTTTTTATAAACTGCTATCAATGAAAGTAGAAAACATAGAAAAGCAGAAGCAGTATCTATGCTCATTTAATGAACTTTTCAAATGGTAAGTATACTTCCACATGTTTTACAAAATTACAATATTTGTCTCTATATTATTGTCTTTGACAATTATTATATCACATATAAATACTATATCATTTTTAATCATTTAACATATTCAAAGCAATTTATATAAAATGTTACCAAACACTGTTTTTTATTTATTTATTTATTTTTATTAAAATCACTTTTACAAAAAAATGTTTACTAAACACTTAACAATTTTATTTTACAGCTGTTTATTCTCACAGTAGAGCAGAATCAGTTTTTTTTATTATTAACAGACGATCCCCATAGGTTTTCGAAGTAATTAGAAGGGGGTAAGAGGACCTCAAAGTGTAAGTGCCACTAAAACAAATATACATGCTTAAATATAGAGTACATACCTGCAACACCAGGAGGGGATAAGAGGAAAGGCCAACGGAACTATCAACAGAGGGAATGAGGTTGCTGAACTCGTCAGTGGGTGCAAAGTCGCCTAAGTAATCAAGGTCAACAGAGGTGGTCTCCGCCACAACAAACAGCACTCCCTCCGCATTGCAATCGATCTCCAAACGGCCCCCGTTTTGCTTGAGACGGCCAGCCAAGGGGTAGAAGAGCACGAGGGCCTTGGATAGCGCGTGCTTTAGCACCGCCGGGTCGAAGAAGTTTGACCTACAGTTTTGATCAGGCTTGTAGAAGTAGACGCTCGGCATGTGATTGACACGACGCACCAGGTCCAAGTTGGACAACCACAATGCTCTCGGAGGCATCTCCTCCACCGGCTTCACCATCGTTGAATCCCTCACGCTCACCTTCATGACCTTCTCCGCCATCCTTTCTTTGTAAGAACGCAGGACCTTTTTTTTTGGTCGAATGTTCTTGTTATTAAATTTGGGATCAAATATATTTGATTGATTGTTTTGCTGCAAATGGAAGCAGCTTTTATATATACATATACATACACGCATGCATTAAACAATACAAAAATAGATGGCATCCTTGCTGCCCATGATGCAGCACCCACGTGCAAATCCCTGCTGTCCAGGGTGTGGCAGCCACATGCATCATTCCAGACAGTCCAGGATGTGGCATCCACATGCAACATTGCTGCTGTCCAGTTTGTACAGATTGTGTGAATTGTTTTGCTTTAACACTTGTCACAAGACACGCTCTGATCTCGATGTCCGTGAGACATAGGGATGGTCACATGCTGATCGACATCTGAGGATTACGAAAACCATTTAATGAATGCAAATGTTGAGAATATGTGAAACATGCATATAAATTTTTCTTATGAATTATAGCAAAATAAAAGGATGTGACTATTCATTTCTACGTGAAGATAGGGATATAAATAATTCAACTACCAACAATGAAAACATAATGATAGTCCATGACATGTTCAGAGCGTATTCTAATTCAGGGTACAAGCGGAAAATGCTATTACAATGAAGTCAAAGCAGAAGGGATGGCACGATGTCACTGGTAAGGGAATGCCTCGTAGCTCGGTTCGTAATCCTCGTTCCTATATCTTGAGGGTACAAAACAAACACGAGTGAACCAAGTTTATATATATATAATACTGAAACAGTTATCAACATACTAACCCCCAAAGTTTAATGAAAACAATAGCATAATATGTAATAAGTTTTATGAAAATCCTAGCATGCCATAAAACCTTTCATGAAACATATCTCGTATATAACGTGCTAGCTAGTGGTATCAATATCAGTATTTCTCGGCCCGAAGCCATTAACATATACCTACTGCCAACCATATATTTCTCTCAACCTTATTTCTCCTTCGCTCATAGGCAGAACAGTGACCACTAGATACGAACAAAAAAAATCATTGAACATAGTCTTTCCAAACATAGGTACATATATCTCAAAAACATCTTCATAGCATATAGTCATCCATCATATATACTATAAAGAAGTGTGTAAAAGCATGTTCATAAATAGTATATAGTCATCCATCGTATATACTATAAGAACATCAGTTCGATAAAATATAATATTCTAAAATATTCTCAGTATAACATAATATCTCATAAAACGTAGTCATTAAATCATGATTTTCATGTATGCATAATGCATTTCTATTATTAAAACATGCATTTTAGAATGGGTCCACTCACATATATTCCGTCGTCGAAGAACCGTATGAAATAGGAATGACGGAATCGTTGCTAATAGTTGCACCTAAGCACATAAATGGTACAATTATCAAAACTATACTTAAACGATTGAATTTCAGAAACAGACGTTATAATTGAGTTCAAGATGTCGAAAAACATAAAAATGGACTTCAGGTACGACCACGTGCCTTCACGCACCACCACACACTGCCTTGGGTCGTCGAAAAATTTGCCAGCGCTGCTGTGGACCGTGGTGCATGTACCCCACACGTGCAGGCTCACAAGCGGTTGGGCTAGGGTTTGGACCAGGTTTTGGGCCTAGGTTTTTGTGCTTGGGTTCAGTGGCTCTGGGCTTAGCCAATGGGCTGGGTTCTAAGGCCCAAAGGCCTAGGTTTGAGGGTTTTGGGTCAAAGGCTCACGGGCCGAAGCCCTTTGGTTTTGGGCTGAAAGCCTGGCCCAAACTAAAAGGTTTTGGGCTTTTAGAAAATAAAATAAATAAATGGGTTAGGCTCAAGTTCCACAGGCCGAAGACCCAAGTTCCACACATGCCCCGGAGGCCTGAGAAACAAGGATTTGGGCTTGGGTTTAGGCCCAAAGGCCCTGGGCCTTTGTTTCTCTTCGGGGAAGGAAGCCAGAGCCTCCCAAGCTCCGGTTGATGGTGATTGACCGATTTAACCTCCGATCTAACTAGCGAAACAAAAATAGCAACGAGAGGGAAAGGTTGGTACATGCGATTAACCGTGAAACGTCGGAGGTGGCTAGTTTTCCCTCGAGGGTCTTGGGGTTCGCCGGAGTGTTTTCTAGGCTTCGCCGTGCTTCACAGCGACAAGGGAGAGTGAGAAAGGGTCAACGAAGGTGGTGCTGCTGCTGCGTCGTCGTCTGGGTGTCTCTAAGGGTGTGCACAGTGTGTGGGTTTGATCGGAGATAGAGAGTGCTAAACTGAGAGAGAGAGAGAGAGAGAGAGAGAGAGAAAGGAGTGAGTGAGTTGAGAGACTCGAGGGGAAAGAGAAAGCGATAAGGGATGAGTTAAGTGGTGCCACATGGCAAACGGACAGGGGAGGGGAAATCTAAATGGAGGGTCTGGATTGGAATAGGATAGGGGTCCAATTTGCAAATCTCGTAAAACTCTAGGGGAAATTATGGAATTACAAATTATTTGAGGGTGGGGTTTAACAAGTTTGACCTACAGTTTTGATCAGGCTTGTAGAAGTAGACGCTCGGCATGTGATTGACACGACGCACCAGGTCCAAGTTGGACAACCACCATGCTCTCGGAGGCATCTCCTCCACCGGCTTCACCATCGTTGAATCCCTCACGCTCACCTTCATGACCTTCTCCGCCATCCTTTCTTTGTAAGAACGCAGGACCCTTTTTTTTGGTCGAATGTTCTTGTTATTAAATTTGGGATCAAATAAATTTGATCGATTAGTTTAGCTGCAAATGGAAGCAGCTTTCATATATACATATACATACACGCATGCATTAAACAATACAAAAACAGATGGCATCCTTGCTGCCCACGATGCAGCAACCAAGCCCATGAATCCATGATGCAGCAACCACGTGCAAATCCCTGCTGTCCAGGGTGTGGCATCCACATGCATCATTCCAAACTGTCCAGGACGTGGCATCCACATGCAACATTCCTGCTCTCCAGTTTGTACAGATTGTGTGAATTCTTTTCCTTTAACACTTGTCACAAAGATTAAGAAGAAGAAAAGAAAATACAAGGTACCCCTCCGACGATCGAAAAACTGTGCTGTTTCATGTTCTGACACCACATAAGCTTGACAATAAGTATAATATATACTGATTTTAAGAACCACCAGGGCATGTTTAAATCGGATCAAATGCTTCTGACTAGCCGGTCGACGGCCGGGATTGTAAGGAACAATGCCGTATCTGGTGCTGCATGGGCTATTAAGTTAGGAGCAGCCATGGTGAAAATGGGATCTATTGATGCCCTCACAGGAAGACAGGGCGAGATCAAGAAGAACTGCAGGGTTGTCAATTAGAATATCTGGGAATTTTATTGGCTCCAAATTTAATAATAATGAAATTCTTAAAATAAATATGTGGATACAGGATAAAATCTAAATCTAAATTGAAACAATAATATGTCACTGCATAAGTGTATATGGTTAATAATGCATATCAGTGACTTCTTACCTTCACCAATATTAATGGGAAAGATGAGTGCTAGTAGGACTCGCTCAAAAAAATAAGAGGGAGACAACCAACTTTTGGGAAATAGAACTAAAGGGACACAAACAATAACACTATTACCAAACATGGGAAAGTAAGTGACTTCTCATTCCCAAATCTCATTTTTCACGTACCAAACGTAACCTGATTGTTATTGTGCCCCATTATTTTTGGATTAAAATGTTATTTATATATTTTTACGTGTTTTCAATATTAATTGTTTGGGAAATAAGTTTCACAACTTTTTTGCTTTTCATGTACAAACTTATTGTTTGTTTGCCTTTCAATTAACTAAATTAAAGAATAATCAGTGGACAAAAATGAAGGAGAAAAAAATGTGCAAAATAATTTTTCTAATTTTTGGCTTTTTTTTTGGGATAATTTTTTGTTTGATAGCAATATGGTGAGTTGAGTTCTTAATTTTGGTTATTTTAGATTTTCGTGTTGCTGGTTTATATGTTAAATACATTTGTTGTGAAAGTATTACAAAGATCGAACCTTTAGCAAATTTGACAGTGATCAAATGAAAAAGAAAATAAAAATATTTAAAATTTGTGTAGATTTGAAGGGTTTCATTTGTTTGTTTGAAATTTGAATGCTTAAAGCAAATTACTGTATGAACCTCCAAAGCAAATGATATGCCATATGATAAGAATTCTGGTCTTTTTGATCCATCTCATCCTTGGATAGGACTTATAAAACGGGGATGCCAATGTTGGTGGTGATTAAAATTAATCATGTGGCGTTATGTGGAAACTTAAACACATAACGACACGCGATAGCCAGGTCTAGGACGCCAACACTTCAACATTCCTGTATGTATTGCATCATCATTGATGATCTATGAAGCACGAACACAGATATGGTGATATGATATGACACGATAGGACTATATAAAAAATCTCTAAAAACTAGGATATATGATATGCCATGAATACGGTAATAAAATTATATAATTTAAAATGTATTTAAACATGAAAGTATCTAAATTCAAGTTCATTTGATTTGTTGCAGAACAAATGCTGGAAGTCGAATCCTTCTTATATACGAGAAGAAGTTTTAAGAGTTATATTCATTGTTTCAATTAGAGGCAAACTCTTCGTATTCATCAATTTTCAACTAAATCTATATTTCCTATTATTTTCTCCTCTTAATTTCTCATCTGAAAGTGTAAATGTTGTGCTAAACCGGTATGTTCTATATCCATGCACATGTACACACATTCAAAACTCAAAACATGTCCAAGAATTTTAAATCCCCCGTTCTCCCTTCGGTTGGCACGAGAGGATGCTGAGAACTCACCGTTGACAACAAAAACTTGTGAGAAAAGATGAGGCTGAAATATTTTCCACTTTAACTTGATTGAATTGAATCACAAAGTAATTTAACAATACAAATGTAATTTTGAACCGAACCCAATTACCAAAATATTGCTCATAAAGATTTCCTTAGAGCTAATCAGGATTTATCCATGCGATTAACGAAAGTTATAATCGAATCGATGTTACCATTCAG